GGGAAAGACTGATCGCGGCAAACTGCCAAACCATATTGATTGGGTGAGAGAGACCCATGCATCCACTAACAAAGTGAACATTCATAGTTCGTTACACCAGTTATCTGCACATACAGTTGTGGCCAAAAAAATTATTCAACCCCCACTGAAATTGAGTGTTTTGGCCAGTTTGACATTGCTTTTGATCATTCAGTCATCTTGCTTACATTTACATTAAAGAGGCACTTGTAGGTCAGACAAATATAACATAACAGTTTATAATGAAATAACCACAAATGTCTTTTCTGTGCTCACAGCATTATCAGTTTTATTCAACCCCCAAGTGACATTCAATCTTAGTACTTAGTACAGCATCCTTTTACAGTTATAACAGCTTTTAAACGTGAAGCATAGCTTGACACAAGTGTCTTGCAGCGATCTACGGGTATCTTCGCCCATTCTTCATGGGCAAAGGCCTCCAGTTCAGTCACATTCTTAGGCTTGCGCACTGCAACTGCTTTCTTTAAGTCCCACCAGAGGTTCTCAATCGGATTTAAGTCTGGTGACTGCGATGGCCACTCCAAAATGTTCCAGCCTTTCCTCTGCAACCATGCTCTAGTGGACTTGGAGGTATGCTTGGGATCATTGTCCTGTTGAAAGGTCCAACGTCTCCCAAGCCTCAGGTGTGTGACGGACTGCATCACGTTTCCATCCAATATCTCCTGGTACTGAAGAGAATTCATGGTACCTTGCACACGCTGAAGCTTCCCTGTACCTGCAGAAGCAAAACAGCCCAAAGCATGATTGACCCTCCACCATGCTTCACAGTAGGCAAGGTGTTCTTTTCATCATAGGCCTTGTTCTTCCTCTCCAAACATAGCGTTGATCCATGGGCCCAAACAGTTCTAATTTTGTTTCATCAGTCCACAGAACACTATCCCACAACTTTTGTGGTTTGTCCACATGGCTTTTGGCATACTGCAGTCGACTCTTCTTATTCTTTGGAGACAGCAAGGGGGTACGCCTGGGAGTTCTGGCACGGAGGCCTTCATTACGCAGTGTGCGTCTTATTGTCTGGGCTGAAACTTCTGTACCCACATCTGACAAATCTTTTCTCAGTTCCTCAGCAGTCACACGGGGACTTCTCTCTCCACTCTACGCTTCAGGTAGCGCACAGCAGTCGAAGTCAGCATCTTCTTTCTGCCACGACCAGGTAGCGTTTCAACAGTGCCCTTTGCCTTGAATTTGCGAATGATGCTTCCTAAGGTGTCTCTGGGTATGTTTAACATCTTTGCAATCTTCTTATAGCCATTGCCCTTCCTGTGAAGAGAAATACCTCTTCTCTCTTGTCTTCCTGGACCATTCTCTTGCCTTCACCATGTTTGTAAACCACACCATGTAAATGTCTAGAAGGATCTGTAGTATCACAGTCATTTTAAAGCTGCCTAATTGGTGGCTTATTATGCTTGATTGCTGCTCGGTGACATCACACTCAGTCCTGTGTGTTTTCAATACCTGATGGAAAGCACCTGTATGAACAAGAACAAAAAGTCTCCTGTTCTTCAGAGTGGTTACCTGTAGTCTTTAGGGGTTTGATTCTGAATAATTGTGCAATAAGACTGAAACCACATTAGAACCATTTTACTACTGGTATACCACATAAACATCTATTGATGTCATTTATTTTGCATTTGGGTAGTTTACACCCACGTCCTTGTAGGATTTGAATTAAAACTGTAATACAATTCCAAATGTATGACACTATATGTCCCATAAACCCACCTTTACAGCATTGGTGGGTTGAAATAATTTTTGGCCACAACTGTTTTTTAGTCAAAATTTGGTGCCTGTGATACGATTAAGGGCTTATTCACAGTTGCCCATGCACAAAATGTTTGTGACTCATTCCCAGGAATGACAGGTGTTTGCAAACAGCCACTTGTTGACTATTGTCATCATCCCAAGTGACAGTTAAAGACATCACCTTTAAAATTGATGTGCAATCTCAAGGCACCCTATATATAATATAGAAAATATAAAAAACTGAATAGTTTTAGATAATGTAGCAGCCCACACATGTAACACTCAACATTAGTTTGTTTTTACCCTGCAATTTTACATAGCAACAGGTCCTGAATTATTTCAACATTTCTTCTCACTCAGTTTCATCTTTCATGCTGATTTAATCCCATTGGTGGAGAGAAAGTGAGCAAACAGGAATGTCTCAGGCCGGGAGCTGGTCCGCACGGTATTCATTGTTTTAATGCTGCAAGTAAAAACATGCTTGAGCAATCCCATGGCATTGACAATTTTTGGGCAATTTGGGAAATGGTTGACATTTAAAGTGCCCTAAAAAGCCAGAAAACACTCCAGTACAGCCCATGTAGATAAAAGGCTGCCTTATGATGTGCTGGCAACCTGGCAAACAGGTATGCTGTTTTCCCCTGTATAAGTGCATTGAAGTGTAAGTTCAAATGACATATACTGTATGTATGGTGTGTATCATAATCTTAACAAGTGCATAAGTGTGAATGTGAACCTAAAATGTAAAAGGCAGGGTTTAGTAAAACACAATTGTCCTATGTAACATACTCTCAATGTTAATAATTGAACATTCAATAGACATTAAAACACTTGGACTCCTATGCAGGGTTACTACATGATGGAACAGCCCTCGAACTTGTATTTCCAGCAGGACTTGGCTGAAAAGCAGAGTGTCTGAGACTACATTTCCCAAACCAGAGGGTAAGCGTGGGGCTGGAGCAGGGGCGGGACTGACCATTTGAAAACTCAGGCACACAACTGCCCGAGGGCCCTGGGTCAGTAGGGGGCCCCAACGGAGTGCCCCTGGTACCGATTTTTCATAGGCTTTTTTTGAGTTTGGGCAAGGACACAGGGGCCCCATGATCCCCTATTGCCCGGGGGCCCATGAGTTGTCAGTCCGCCCCTGATCTGGAGCATATAAATATCAAAGCCTGGGAGATTTGGCCAGGAGAGGGAGGGATATTGAAGGTGAAGGAGGTATGCTGAAGGCAGAGGTGCTGAACTAGGGCCCCAGGATATTCACTGACCGCACCGGCTAGCCAAGCAGACCACTCTGACAGCCGGAGACAGAGTGGAATGCCAAGTCTGAACCAGAGGGCTCATGGACCTGTCTTATTCCATCGGGAAAGACTGAGGCCGAACCATTGATTGGGTGAGAGAGACCCATGCCATCCACTAACAAAGTGAACATTCATAGTCGTTACACCAGTTATCTGCACATAGTTGTGAACATTACATACAGTTGCCCCAGTTTGTGACCTAATAATGCCCGCGCCATTGTTGATATATATCTCCAGTAAAGTTATCATTCAAGCTGACCACAGGACATAGTTATAGACCAAGATACAGTAGGGCCAACTAAATCAACAAGTTTGTCTCCCTCTCTGTAGAAGGATTCTTACTACTGTTCATCTTTTGCTGATTTAATCTGATTGGTGGACTGTGAGAAACCTCAGTACTTTTTTTTATAGAAAGTAACAAGACTTGCAATCCCTGCATTACTGGCAATTGGAAATGGTGTGTTATGGTGCAGTATAGCCATACTGTATGTAGATAAAATGTATATACAGGGCAAAAAACTGGTAGTAATCCCTGTGTGCATCTCAATATGTACTGTATATTTTAATTTGGACTGGAATGGATAAATAAAAAAAAACACAATTGTCCTTAACATTCTCATTATTAACTTCTGAAAAACACTTGGAGCTGAATGTACATATAATATCTATTATTATCTATGTACAAGTACACTATTTTATTGCTTGTTATGACACAGTAGAACACAGTAATTATGATGTTCAAGTTAACATAATGCATATAATGTACAGTATATACATAGCGAATGCAATAATGAATGGTTTAACAAAAATCTTCATTCTTCCTTTATGAGAAAAAACTTGCTTCTTAAAAGATAAATGCATCCGTGCAAATTAGGACATCTGAAAAAATGTTCTTAGAATTGACCAATTATTAAATTAAAGTAAAGAGGAAAAACTTTTTTGCATAGAGTAAGGGAGGATTATAACCCCTGTAAGTTTTCTTTGGCCATCTGTGTCCCATTGCTTAGCTTAACCCTCACTTCCCAATCCTTAACCAAAACAGGAAGTGAGAGGCAATCATTCCAAAGTGAGGGAATCCCCGGTTGTGACCAAAACTAGTGTCTCCATTGGAAGATTTCCCCTTTATCACTGTTCTAATGACAGTGCACTATTTGGGATTTTCTTTTACTTTCACTTTCAATGATAATTGTAAACCAATAGGGTAAATCGAAGCACTGAAGTGTGATCTCTATAATTGACCCAGTTAGGCCATGATAACTTTGACCTACAGTCTCAGTAAAATTGGCCAGCAGTGGCTCAATCCAAATTACATCTTGCAGATCGTAGAAATCTTTAACCACTTGCCTCCGGAAGATTTACCCCCCTCCTGACCAGGCCATTTTTTGCAATAAGGTGCTGCATTAATTGGACTGACAATTGCACAGTCATGCAACATTGTATATAAATTAAATTTATGTACCATATTTTTTGCTCCATAAGACACACTTTTTCCCTCAAAAAAATGGGGAAATGTCTGTGCATCTTATGGAGGGAATATGGAGCGGCCAGCCTGGTATTCTCCCCGTTGCCGCCGGACCGGCCGCTCGGCTCTTTTGTGCAGCAGAACCTGCTCCTCGGTCCTGCCTGTTCCTCAGTCCAACGGTGTCCTCATCACCTCTGGTTTCACCGGCTGTCTTCTCTCCATGGAACCGGCATCTTCAGTGTGGGCACCCGGTTGTGACAGCTTGTGGCTTCACAGCCGGGTGCCCACTTCACATGCGCGAGGAGCGCTGTGCTTTTTGAATGGCCCCATAGTCTTCTGGGACTTGTCACGTGTCCCAGAAGACTACGGGGAGGGAGGACAACGTCCGTTTCTGATCGCCTAGGCGACCGCAGCGGAAGTGGGAGCGGGTACCTGTCAAATTTGGGTACCCAAAGGTCTTCAGTCTCTGGTCATCTCCTGTACTATGTCTTCAGTCTCTGGTCATCTCCTGTACTATGTCTGCAGTCTCTGGTCATCTCCTGTACTGTGTCCACAGTCTCTGGTCATCTCCTGTAATATATAAAATCAAGTAACAAGAGTGAGCACACAAAAAAAACTAAAACAGCTGCTAGCATAAAAGGATGAACCCCTCGATCCTCAAATAGAACATAAAATATATATATGCAGTGCTAAAATTGAAGTGACTAAGTATAACACGCAAAACTGAGATTTGTGCAAAATTGGTGAATACCAACAAGTGTCAGCAAAGTGACAAGTGCAAAAGTGAATGGATGAACATAAAATCATTGAATGAAGTGACAAATTGATTGTGAATGTTCTAAGACAAAATCAATAAAAACAACTCAATAATCTCTTAAAAAAGGAATTATTTAAAAACATATAAACATATGAAGTCTAGTGAGTTGGTGAATGGATGAGAAAACACCTAAAATTCGATGGAAAGTTCCAAAAACATCTATAACATCTAAAATCCAGTGCAGGTGACTAATGTGGTCAAAGGAATTAATTGATTATTGATTTTGTCTTAGAAGATTCACAATCAATTTATCACTTCATTCAATGATTTTATGTTCATCCATTCACTTTTGCACTTGTCACTTTGCTGACACTTGTTGGTATTCACCAATTTTGCGCAAATCTCAGTTTTGCGTGTTATACACTTTGTCACTTCAATTTTAGCGCTGCATATATATATTTTAGCTCCTGTACTATGTCAGCAGTCTTTGGTCATCTCCTGTACTATGTCCGCGGTCTCTAGTCATCTCCTTGTAGTATGTCCCCGGTCTCTGGTCATCCCCTGTAGTACATCTGCAGTGTCTGGCCATCTCCTGTAGTATGTCCGCGGTCTCTGGTCATCTCCTTGTAGTATGTCCGCAGTCTCTGGTCATCCCCTGTAGTACATCTGCAGCGTCTGGTCATCTCCTGTACTATGTCTGCAGTCTCTGGTCTTCTCCTGTACTATGTCCGCAGTCTCTGGTCGTCTCCTGTACTATGTCTGCAGTCTCTGGTCATCCCCCTGTACTATGTCTGCAGTCTCTGGTCATCTCCTGTACTATGTCCGCCGTCTCTGGTCATCTCCTGTACTATGTCTGCAGTCTCTGGTCATCTCCTGTAGTACATCCACAGTCTGTGGTCATCTCCTGTAGTACATCCACAGTCTCTAGTCATTTCCTTTACTATGCATTCCATTGGTTCAAAATATTTTTTTTCTTGTTTTCCTCCTCTAACACATAGATACGTCTTATGGTCAGGTATGTCTTATGGAGTGAAAAATATGGTAATTTTTCCCTACAAATAGAGCTTTCTTTTGATGATATTTGATCACCTCTGTTTTTTTTTATTTTTTGAGCTATAAATGAAAAAATGCTGATGTAAAAAAATATATATTTTTTTACTTTCTGCTATAAAACCTATCCAATAAAAACATTTTAAAATCAAATGTCTTCAAAAATTTAGGCCAAAATGTATTCTGCTACATATTTTTGTTTAAAAAATCCCAATAAGCATATGTTGATTGGTTTGCGCAAAAGTTATAGCATCTACAAATGACGGCATAGATACTGGAATTTTTTTTTTTTTTTTACTACTAATAGTGGTGATCAGCAACTTATAGAGGGACTGAGATATTGTGGTGGACAGTCTGACACTAACTGACACTTTGTGGGAACCAGTGACACTAATACAGTGATCAGTGCTAAAAATATACACTGTCACTGTAGTAATGACACTGGCTGGGAAGGGGTTAAACATCTAGGGCGATCAAAGGGTTAATTGTGAGCCTAGCCAGTGCTTTTGCGTGTACTGTATACTGTTTTTTACTTGGCAATCTGCTAGATGTTATTCCTTGAATAAAACCAAGCAGATCGCCATTGACACAACACAGCCCTGCTTTGTTTACAATCAGAGCTGTGTTATGTCAGTGTCCTTGGCAATCAATGGGTGTCAGCGCTCATCTATTGGCCAGCACCTGTTGATTGACTTCTGCTGTGTCCAATCACAGCGAAAGGGGCGCTCCGGCAGCAGGTGCGTACCCCTCCTATGGCAAAAATGCAAAATGATGTTTATATATGTGATTTTGCACAGAACGCCACCCAGTAGCAGTAAATCTGCTATAGGGCGGAGGTCAAGTGGTTAAAAACTTGTGGAGATCTTTACAGATAGGTAAAAAAATCATAGCATGTCTAGCTCCATCATTTACATGTGCTGAGAACAGAAACTTAAGACATACTGAACTAGGTGGGACTAGCTATACAGAGCATCTACTAACTATGGAGTGGGAAAGTTACATAAAGGCAAACAAACAACGATGCATGTGTAGCATGATAGGAATAAAAACTCGACAGGTGTTCTAATCCCTCTTCACTATATCCAGAATTAAAAAAAATAGGTTGCCTTTAGTTACCCTTTAACACTTCCCATTAATCAGTAGGGCATATATTCACTTTACCAAATCACATTATGATGCAAAGTGGAAGTGTACCTTCCAGGTATATTATGTTTATATCACAAAGTAATATGGCTGTCCACATTTATGTATGTATATAAATATAACTGTGAATAGAAAAAATAGGTATTTTTAAGATATTGAGACACATTGATAAGATCATTTATGTTAAGGAATAAGATTCACATGATTGACTGATTCCCCTATATAGATCTTTAGTTAGACCTCACTTAGAATACTGTGTCCAATTCTGGAGACCTCACTTACAAAAAGATATTGATAAGATAGAAAGACTCCAGATACAGGTAACAAAAATGGAGAAAGGTCTGTTGGATAAAACATCAGGAGAGACTTAAGGAACATAATATGTAGAGTCTGAAGGAAAGAAGGGAAAGAGGAGACATAAGTGAAACCTTTAAATACATCAAGGGGGTGAATAAGGTTCACTACGGCAGTATTTTCAATATGAAGCCAACATCAAGAACATAGGGACATGACCTCAGACTAATCTTAGAATATATTATTTTACCAAAAGTGTAGTTAATGCTTGGAACACACTTCCAGCAGAGTAATGAGTCAGTCAACGGTAAGTGTAATCAGATGTGCTTGGGACAGACATAGATCCATGCTCACACAAAGAGGTTAACAAAAAAATAATCAGAAACAAAAAATACAAAAACATTTATAGATTTAAAATAAAAAATGAAAAAAAAAGCTCAATGGACCACTTGGTCTTTTTTTCTGCCATTACTTGTCTATGCTTCTATTTAATGTCAGTCCACCAAAAAAAAACAAAAAAAAACTTGAGGTTCTTTTCCTTATCCAGACTATTAAAAAAAAAAACCTTAGTCATACTTTAGGGAAATTGAAACTTTGAATTTACCCGAAATGCACATCCACTGGGCAGTCCATGTCAGGTATCAAGTTTTGCATCAATATTGGATGAGAAAAACTAACTGGAATAATTTGAACTTTATAACCTGCCAATTTTTGGGGACAGATTAAGGGTCCATTATTTACTTACATATGCATTATTTGCTTGAAAGGAACTGAAAATGGGAATTCATGTGCACATTTCTAGTACAGTAATTCATTTTTAGCTGATGATGTATTTGAAATGACAGTACAGTAGTTCTTCCAAAAACCCTGTTTGTATTTGCTATCACATTGCATTTATTTATCAGCATATAAACAGAAAGCAGCTTGGAATTACATTGTTTAGTATTTTTTGGTATTGTTTGGCTTTCCCAGTAATATAATCTCATATTTCTCTTAACATCCCTTTGAACTTGAACACCCTCTTAAACCTCTAAATAAAATACTATTTAATTGTCTGCACTTTAATGTAGCATCTGTTTTATGTAGCCGGGACATAAAAAGCAGCAAATGGGGTAAAAGAGTTTGAGAAATGCACATGCTAACCAGCTGTTTTACAGAATAACAAGAGGTGTAGTTAAGATTATATAGCGATCAAGCAGATGCTTTAGTTAAAGGGACTTAGCAGGGAGCACAGATAATCCATAAGCAAATATACAGTTTCCAAAATTACGTAAACATGAATCTGTGTTTGAAAACTTCACATTTGGTAATGCACTGATGAAAGTAATCAAACAAAACTATTTTTCAACTTTTCATTTCCTGACTACTTCAGGTCCACTTGTTTTTACTGCATATGGATAAATGTCCCGCTTTCCTTTTAATCATCTGTAATGTGAGGCTGTTCATTCTGGCAGAAATACTGTTCATCATTGTTTGTTATGAAGGGCCAATACTAGCTCAGGCTTCATTACTTCTGCTTTTTTTCACCTAATAGAATCTACCGATCGATGATGATTCACAAGCTTGCATTTGTACTTGGGTGCCCCAGGAACGTCTGATGGATTATAAGGCTAGGTAGCCTCACAGAGGAGCTCTTTGGTTAGTGGGTGGACCAGCAATCCAGCGAATGGTCAAGACAGACAAATATACTGAATCAAGCCAGAGTGTTGTCAATAACTAACAGGGTCAGAACAAGCCAGACTTGGATGGTGTCAAAGGGTGATATAGCAGCTTGTTCATGAGGATAGATAGAGGTGGCTGTGGAGATGACCAGAGCTAAGAATCAAATAGTGAAAAGCAGACACATGGTCAGGAGGCACAGGGCAGGCAGAGTACAAAGGAGGCCAGAATAAGTGAGGTCAACAACAAAGGTCAATATGAGTGTCGAAAGGGGACCTAACTTGTGGGCTAAAAACCTCTTTGACTGTCAACCTGATATTGAGACAAGTTGTTCTTAAAACAGAGCTTAGACAATTAAAGTAAAATGGGAGAATATTTCCATTGCTCTGTGAAGTGCCTATTTTGTACTAGAGTCTACTTAACTTTGTGTTCTCTCTGGTCCAAAAACCTTTGATAGCCAGCTAAACCATCTTGGCTGCTTTATGCTAGAAATTCTGCTAGAACAGAAGAGTACCTGCAGCGTAAGTCCTTTTTACAGCTAAACTCCAGGAAAACCGCTAAAAACACAACTGAAATGCATATATGGGAGCAGTTTTACTGGTAGGAGTTGTATTTCTGCCCATCCATTCCTATGATGTACAGCATAGCCAGGCTGGTGACTTGATTTTGCTTTACTACAGTTAAGAAACACAAATGGTTCACCACCATGCCCCTAACCTGTAATTAGACAGTGAAGAAATTGCAAAAGATTGGTGAGGTCATATTCCTGCTCTCTAACCAACATATTAGAATGGTGGGATCCTCCTAAACTCCCCCCTCAGGGCACCATTCCATCAATTCAAACATTGCAATATACTACCCCTTCTCTCCTCATGTAAAAGGGGAAAAGGAGGGGAGTCAAAAGTGGGACTTTCAATGTGCCACAGGGAGGATACACACTACAACTTTGATTAAAAAAAAATCTTACAAATCTTTATTACATAGTTAAAACATAATAAAAATCACACAATAATCTGCAATATATACAAGTTTTACAAAAAAATGGTGTCCAATGGTGTATTCATCTCACATGGCCAGAACTGGGGGGGAATTTGCCCTGCATTGGTAAATCATTCATCAATATTGTCGTGTGGGCTGGAGGTCATTGGCACCACATTACATATAAATAGACAATACCAAAACCTGAAGCAGTTGGGGATTTTTCAGGTACCCAAACAAATTACTAAAAATCATTAAATGAAATCAATCAAATTTTACTGTTCAAAGCCAAAGAATTGGCAAAACTTGTTGAGCTGGAATGATTGCATCATGTCTTGAGCCACATGGAGCCTTTTGTTGATTTTAAATCTATACAACCACAAAAGTGTTGT